AGGGGAAACTTTCTGCCACTCCTCAAAGGTAATAAAAAACCAGACCTTTCCTTTCCTATATGGACTGATCTGAGATGCATCAGGGAGACTGCTGGAGATTTGGTCCAGAGATGAAGGCTGTTCTCTGAAGAGGTTCTTTTTATTTTCCCACATCATCCCTTTCACAGCAGCTATCTCCCACACACTTTCCTTATCTCTTTCTTATTCTCACTGTTAAAGAAGCTCCCCTATGTGCTTTAAAGGGAAGCCTCATCTTCTCACCAAGGTATCGTTTGTTTAGATATTTCCATAGATTGTATTGTTTCTGTTTATAGTCTCCTTTCCATGTAGAGACCCTATCATGGTCTTAAGGCATTTCCATCCTGATAAACCCCTTGGATGGGTCCCTTACTAGCTTCCCTTAGGAACCAACCACTGCCATTTTACTTCTACTATATTTAAGCAGTCACTATTCAAATTTCTCGGTTGGCATTTTGCTGTACTATATATTTATCCTTCCTTCCCCTCCTTCTTTTCTCTTCCTCATCATTCTTTACTTCTCTCATCTTATTTTAAAATTAACACCATGTCACAGATATGGAAACGGTTTCTGTGTAGTCTTCCTGATCCATGTCCCCTCTTTTCCTCCTCAGAGATACCTTTAACATCAAATTGGTCATTCCAAGATCTAGTTTACATTTTTAAAGTGCGTATCTAACTCACAACAACACACAGTACTTTTTGTAAGCTTGCATAATTCTTACACATACTACTGTAATAGAACTAATATGCCTTCCCAGTGAGAAATCACTGCTGTGATGAGCTGAGCTGGTGGGCTGTGAGGCATTCAGAAATTAGGCTGTCCCATGAGATTTGCCTTTCAAATATGCTGTTTTTGTCTGTGCTATTATAAAGATTACGGTAATCCCATGTAAACAGTGGTCTCACCAAGTGGGGAAAAGTCTGGCAGGAAATGCTACAGGATGTCACTGGGGAATCCTCTCCAGTAAAGGTGCTTCAGGAGCAACCTTGACTGCCATCCTCAGGGAGGTTCTTCAGCTGTGGCAGGCTGGGAGGATGCAGCTGTTACAAGTTCCAGAAGACCCTTGAGAGTGTCAGCCACCGGCAAACACTAACAAGGCAGGCATGGAGCACAGCAGTGAGATCCTAGGAGTTTTTGTATTGTTCCAGTGGCCATTGCACTATCAGGGCTCACAGCTTAATGTTGGTTCATTAACATATCAGAGCCTGCCTTAGACTTGGCTCATATGGAAGCTGCCTTGTGCTTGGCTCCTTAACACATCTTGGAAGCATTATGTTATCCTAAGTCACACAGAATGTTTTACACAAAAAGCTTCACCTATCCTAACAAATCTGTACTTAGAGATGAAGGGATAGCGCTTTAATGGTGCTTGTCCAGCTTTTGGCTAAGGCTAGAGGAAGATCCAGTCTTGAATAGGAGATTTCACTACTATATAAACACCATAGGCTTATGTATTTTACATATGTTGTCATCTTTAAATATCTTTTAGGTCCTGGACCCATGTTACATTTTGAACATTCTGAACAGAAAATGGGGGCCCTAAGTCTGGCCACTTGGGCAGATGGAAGATTTATACAGCAAATATATTGCTAGAATTATTTCTTAAGCACACCACTATTGTTCTTTTCAAAAAGCTGTTACCCAGGGCAAACATGGAAGAATTATGTTTTTCTTGATAAGAGCACAGGGGACTTAATGGCAGACCAGAACTTAATGATGGCTGTGAACTGTAAGCTGCCTGTCAGAGTATGTCCTTTGGGAATGGGCCTAATGGCTGGTCAATCCTGCTGAACAAACACCTACATCCTAGAATGGTTAATTTTGCTTCTCTCTAACAGGCCTAGGTAGCATTACTTATTTTTGGGGTGTTGGTGGTGGTAGTGCTCTCTTAGCTAAATTCTACTTTTTCTGATTTAATGTCTCCTAAGCAAATCTATTAACAAATGCTGTATAATGTAAATTCTATTACTTAGAGTTTCTTCTACACCAGTATATGCTGATAGTTAAGTATTTAAGAAAGGAAGATGAATGTGTACAACATTAACTAAGACTATTTGGGGGATCAACATGGAAATAGGAAAGCACAGAGTCCTGCTGTGATGCATTCCAGTGAATACTTCGGCTAACTCTGCTTTCCAACCAGGACTCTTCCCTTGGCATAGCAGACCTATTTCAACAGAGAGTCTAATTTTCTGGAGGTTAGCTCTTTGTGTGTGTAGTACTAAGGATTGAACTTAAGAGCTTCGGACAGGCTACAAACCTCTTTACTGCCGAGCTACATTCTCAGCCCTCCTTTTTATTTTGAGACAGAGTCTCACTAAGTGGTACATGGTGCCCTTGTACTTTCATTCCTTCTTCGATCTACCAAGAATCTACAGCACAGGCTTGTGCCAGCAGGTCCAGCTGGGCTTGTCTATTCTTAAAGTGAATTTCAGAGCCCTGTCTATGGATTTGTGTCCCACTGCAGGAAGTCAGAGTTCCGAAACTTTGCTTTTATTATCAATTGATCAATCTCAGATTTCTGTCTTTTTTTTTTTTTTTTTTGGTAGAGCTTCATTTGAGTTTTAAGAATTGCCCAATTCCCTTGTATTTGTAGTTACTATTTTCTGACATATGTGAACTGTCTAATAGACAAGTAAGGCTGGTGGTGGTGGTGGTGGTGCGGTG